AGTGAGACCTTGATTTTCTGCAGTTACCTGGAGTCACCGAGTCCCAGGACTGTAGATTAATGTTGTCCGCTAAACATCATTATAAGATCGCAGAAATTGAAAAGCATATTTTGTTAATAGGTTTTCCAGAAACCCTTTTGGAAAACCTTAGGCTTTTGTAAAATTTATTTCGAGATCTCCTATGAATAGGATATACAATAGCTTAAATAATCTACATTCTGAGGTTTTGAATACGTTCTGATGTTTTTTGAGTGAATAGTGAATTTTTTAATATTCGGCGAGAACAGCGTGAAAACCCTAATTGTCGTAAAACTGGCTTTTCAGTAGATTTTAAAATTTTTTCTAAAAATAAATACTGCTACCAGACTCAGTATGGCCGATTATCCATAGTCCATCCGTTCTTAAGGCCACCTAGAGTCACCGGGTGCCAGTCCTGGGACTCGGTGACTCCAGGTAACTGCAGAAAATCAAGGTCTCACTTTACTCCCATTTTGAAGAGAACATCCCGGGCTGTCACCCCATGAAAAAAGTCAATACATTCCGATGTGAATTTCGTAAAACCCAAGCTAGTTTTCCAAAGATCCTCTGGAAAGTCGACTTCGAAAAATTATCCAAAAATCGGTTTTGCTTGTAGAAAGATCGCCTCAAGTCTTGGCCATTGAAGGGTGGAAATCGAAAGCCTTTATCTTTATGTGGTCCTGAGTTATTCAAAAAATAACCACTGCTGTTGTATTTTGGCTCCGATAGGAGTTCCTACGCTCTAAAAAATCATGCGACTTAGGATCAGGTTACGTCACATTAATGTGTCTTATTCTCAAAAAATAAGGTACATTAATACGACTTAACTTGATTCTAAGCCGCATGATTTTTTAGAGTGTACCACTTACTTGTCAACAGCGACCGCGCAATAAACTTGAGATCCCACTTGCGTGGCATCTGGTATCCAACTTTCAGTAACACTCCAGAGAGCCCCCGTAACATTTTCAATTAAAGAACTTTTGAGCATGTATAGTGGCGGAACAGTAAAAATATCCGAAATAACTGTTCCAGGGCAACCTTTTTCAACGATTATTTGAAAAGTGAATAGTTCACCAACATGAATTGCTGTACATGACCCCTCCGAAATGCTTCCTGTAATGTTTGGAGCAAGAGGACACGGAGGCGAGGCGACAACTTCAATTAGAAATTGTAGAGGTATTGAACTGAACGGTGTGTATGTCGACTCGTCATAAAAATCTTCGATCATCAGTGCTGCAGCATAATAGGATCCTACTGTTTTTCCTGTACTATTAAATGTCAATGTGCAATTATCTTCGTCCAACACACCGCCTGACACCATATTACAAACGTCGCCACATTCATCATACGTCGAGTTACTGATTGACCATCGACACCTAAACAATAGTACTTCTTAACTATAGAAGTGATCGTGACTTCAGTTGAAATTTTCTCAATTTTCATGTAGTTTAAAGCAGAGAAATTAAACATTATGTAGCAAGAAGGAGTGAAAGTTTAATTCAAGTAAAATAAATCGAGTCTCTAAAACTTATCCTCCTACTCCTCACGAAAGCACGGCGAACAAATTTCACGCAGATATCAATACAATAAATATTATCCTATTTTCAAGCCAGAAAAACCAACTTGCCCTTCTGAAAGGTCTGTGATATCATAGAAAAATCAATACTTGGCTCTCGGTTTATATTTTGGCATTTATTTGTGCCTGAGATCGCTGATTAGTACCCGCTCCGGGCACAAATAAATTTGTTCACATTTTTGTGCCCGGAAAAAGAAATGTGCCCGTCAATTGCATTGGTTAATGCCCGGTTTACGATTTCTAACTGAAATTTCAACAAACAAGAGATTTGTGCCTGATTCAATGGATACTACCAAAAAAACAACATTTACATACGTACAATATGATAATCCTGCAGCTACTGATTTAACAATAATTTCTGTAACAGATGATGGCGCACGTGTTGTTGCGTTACGATTTCGAATGATTAGGTGTATTTGATGTTGACATAATGAACCCGCTCTCATCTTACATTAAATAACGGATTTGAAAATCACATTGAGGAAACTTTCGACACTCTGAGCATCAATAGGTAAGTTTTTTACCTCCGTTTATTTGTTCTGTACATTTAATAGATACATTTTGACAATTTATATACGAATAGAAACCAGATCTGTTTCAAAATCTGTCAGCAAAGATCCACTGTCGCTTCACCATAGTATAGATGTTTATGTTGCTTTTCAGTTTTAAGCAGAGTATTATGAAGTATAATATAACTCACCATGTGCAGTACAGTAGTTTATTACTGAATTTTCCTTCAACCGAATTGTAAACAAAAGTTCCTTATACAACGTGGACATTTGTACGATTGAATCTACTTGTATACATTGTTATCATTTTCACAAGACAGTCGTGAAAAAACCGGGCACAAAACAGTGATTTTCTTCTCTTTCTATTTAAAAAGCAAACCAGACACATTTCTTTTTCCGGGCACAAAAGCATAAAAACATTTATTTGTATCAGGACCGGGTACTAATCAGTAGCATCGGGCACGAAGAAATGAGAAAGTCGGGCACAAAAAAATTCACCTCTGTTACAGTTCGTGTACTCATCAAAATTTTTGTCCGATATAGATGAAATTTTAATCAGGGGTGCTATTTAATTGCTTGAAACCTTTCCTTTAATTTGATAATTAAAATCCTTTTATCGAAATATTCTCAATAAATTTTACCTAGTTCAAACTGATGCGTTACCTATTGAGAAAATTGGTTTTCTAAAAAACTACTAAACGGTGTCAGCTATACACTTGAATCAAAACACGAAAAAATAGTCAGCAGAGTTCGGTACCAACAGGAAAATGTCAGCTCTCTTTTGATATTTCTAACTCAATTATTTTCAGATATGCGGCAGTGTGTATGCTCACTTCAGTTGGAGCTTTGACTTAGCAGCAACTAACATGAGGACATTGACACAGCATGTCAAACCTTAGACATGAAACACAGAAAAGTAAAAAATCTTTGACCTTTTTTCAGATTAAACTTTCTCTTTCAGATTATAGAGACTCGTCGAAGTTTGCACTTCGACTTGAGTCAAGTTTTTCCATTCGGGTACCTCATTGCGCTGCATGCGCACTGCAAGAAAAAGAAAAAAAAGAAAGCTGAGAAGTAGCTTCGAACTCTTGTACTGTTTGCTCATACTGATTAAGTACCGGGTGACACCGCCGGTACAACCGATTGGTATACCGCGCGGTTCGATAGACCGTGCGGTAAGTTCAGTTCCACTGGTGGTATACCGGGGAATGTAACAGACTGGTACCGAAGCGGTAACCGGGCAGTATTTAACCGATTTTGATGACATGGGCTCACAATTACATGAAAATTATAAAATGGGGAATGTGAGCACCTCAGCGCCTGACAGTACATATAAAAGTTTGATTTTAACTGTAATAAACTTCGGTAGCAAAATTGATTCACTAACAT